CACAGTCTCACACACACTCTCACGCTGCCACACGCTTCTCTCTGGGCCTTCAGAAGACGGATCCTCTCGGCCGAGGGCCCGAGCTGACCTGAGAGAGAAATGGCGCGCTGAGCTCGATACAAATATACTGGACCTCGAAAAGTATTACTTATTAATTATTACCAAGAAGTAATTACAAAAACAGTCGCTCGTTAGGAAACGGGGAATACGCTCTCCGTGTCGAAACCTACACAGAGGCGAGCGGACCGCCGGCGAACGACACTCGGGGCTTTTCGGTTCCGCTGGGTCACCCCGTATTTACCCCCGTCATTTCTGTGGGGACGGAGCCCTACAGCCCCGGGGACAAAACAAACTGAGAAGCGAGTCCAACAGGGTGGTCAGCAGCCTCTGTCCGGTGAGCTCAGGGACTGAGAGGCGATCAGACACAAACCGCGTCCCGCTTAACAGCAGCGTTACCGCCTTCCAGACCGAGGGACGGGGTTTCATAATACAAAATACAAAGTACGATTAACGTAGATTCCTTTTTTAAAAAAAAAAAGATTAATTAAATGTCATGTTCTTTGCACGGCAGTATCATACAAACATCGCGCCCGAATTATTTATCTGTGGACGCGGAGTTTCTTTCTGAACGCGTAAAGATAAAATCACTGCTTCAGAGAATCACGCCGGAGTCCGTAACTGGTGGCCGGAAAGGGAGAATTCAAAAGTCTCGCCGTGGGCGCGGTGATTTTTTTCGTTGGGTTTTCCACGGCTCTGTTTATTTGTAATATCTTTTATCGAAATTCCTACGTCTATGCGATCGCCGCCCGGCTTGCTTTTGAAATATAAAAATATTCCCGCTCTGAGTGTCTTGTCGGGTTTGAGATTAACGTGATTCAGCGTCGCTTTTTGAAGACCAGGCTCCCGAAATAAACATCTCACCTTCAGATTCCCACATGTTACGTAAAATGTTGCTGAACTTATTTTAATTTGTATCGCGGTAGTCCGGCAGTGAAATGTGTATTTACAGGGAGTGCAAGCAGTTTTCCTAAATTGCAAGCCAGACATGCATGTACGGAACTAGATTCACACGAGTAACCCGCAGTCCTATTTTACAGTACAGTTCTTTTACTCACACGCATAGAGTATGGATGATGCGTATGTAAAATTTTGTACTTAAGGACATGGGCGATGATTTTGCCGATTTTTATTTTGTCATAGATCGTTATCTGTTAGGCTTTTTATTTAACGATCATGTTGAACAAGCGGAAATCGACCCGAAACTGTCTAATTACTTATCACAAAAAAAGACAGGAACAGATTTCGTCCGCTGAGTGGGTGACAAACACGATGGTTAAATTCACTACAGGTTTATATTGCAGGTATTGTTTAGAAAATAATGATACGTTATCATTTATTAGTAAAACTGGAATAACTGGAATTTCATTCCACTATATTGTTTATTTAAAATATCCAATAATAATAATAATAATAATAATAATAATAATAATAATAATAATAATAATAATAATAATAATAATAATA